CCAAGGAATTGCCTTTGCTGATAGCCAGGGCCCAATTTTGACCTGCCCTTTGCTCCTAAAAGGTCAGTTGTTTAATTGGCTACAGCTGTGACAAGTTAACCGTAGCCACGCCGCGCCGTTCGGAAGTTACTGTGGAAAAGCTGTCGGGGAACAAATTGTCCCCGAATCGAGCACATGCTTATGTGATTATGTCGTTTCCGCCGCGTGATCGGCGTATTCTTCGGATGCCGGCCGCCTCCCGCCGTTCCCTACTGGGCTTGCATGGAAACAATATTTTCCTTATCAGAGTGTTAACTATATGACTTCATGACTTCATAATACACACTTCATGGAAGCCCTAAAAATCTTTAAATACACTTCAACGCATTAATCTATCGTGCGAATGGCTTGTGTAAAACTAGCTATGAACCTTATTGGCTCTCATCTGAATCACCTGTCTTGGAATTTGTTGATACGTGTGTAAACCTTGCGAATAACGTCACCGTCGGTACACATGATACCAGCAGCCAGAAAAGAAAAGGAAAACAAACCCATCGCTCGAGGGCGGAACACAAAATAAGTATATGTTACGGCTATCCAAAATGACTTGCTCAATGCTGCCTCCCCAGACACAATTTGGCTTATTATGCATGCATTCATTACTGGAAGCTAACAAAGGCCTAAACTGGTAAGATCATCCTTCTCTTCTAAGACTTGATAATGTGGAAGCATAGTATCACCATACAGCCCCAATATTTCCGCGCAATTCTCGGCTCCTGGCAGCTTGCGTTCACCGCAAGTCACGTGCTAGCAATCACTTCTGATGTAGAACACCGTGCTCTAGCTTACTGCTGTTAAACATCAGCTGGGTTTAATCAAAGGTACATTTTCCATGAACAGCCTGTAATTTGTCATAACACGGCTCCCAAAAAAGATGTTCCTCGAGTGAGCTCTGGACGATGCAGACAGCTTCAACTTGTCAAAATATGTGAAAATGGCATTTAGGGAAGGCCACCAGGTCGGATAAACGCCTCTGATGCAATGTGCCGAAATTCATATTTAAGACAGAAAATGAAGCCTTTTAGATCGATTGGAGGCTCGCAGTTTGACTCTTTTCGTTATTCCGTTCTTCCATTTGTAGATAGATTCATCACATCAACGTTCTTACGAGTGCCGCTTTAGCCTAAATAAAGTAGAATTATGCCAATCCATGATCCTTAGCACATGTCAAGTAGCAAAATAAAGCGCCGAGGCCCTTTTAATTCTCCCCGTTTCTGGATAGAATTTGCGGAAAAACTATCAGAAATTGGCTTAACATGCCGGATCTAATAAACTCTCCTACCATGCGCAGGGTTTTTGCTATTTCAGCGTTTCGGAACGCAGTGAAAAGGGAAATCTGGGTGGGACCTAAATTTCTAGCTCCTATTGCTAGAGCAGTATAACCATTTTTGTATCAATGCATTATTGGCACATATTTCAGAGTCTGCAGACTACCTTACAATTCTCTTTCCAAGTTAAGTTGGGTGTAAAGCTTAGACAAGGATAGTCATCAATCCAAATAGGTTGTGTGTCATTTAGAATTTATGGTTGAACTGGTATTAGAATTTGTCTTGATTTGACTGGTCTAAAATTTATTTAACGAAAACGTAGTATTTAGCTGCCATTGTCATGCTCAGTTCACACCCTGGTACCACTTGTAAAATTCAATTGGTTAACTACGCTGGTTTCACTTGTATGAAACCGCTTACCCATGATTGTAGAAGTACGATGTGTTTTATATAACTGTTATATATCCCAGGTATCAGACATAGCGATAACCTCACTTCCAAGTTAAACGGCATACTTTGAAACTTAATTATCATCTTGAATGCATTACATATTGCTCTAGCTACTCACGGTGGAGTCTGATATGGCAGGAAACTGATTGGCCAGTATACTGTGGTTTTACGCGCAAAGGCAAGATTGCCAACAACACATCCTTGCAGAGCGTGAGAGTAGTAAGTCAAATCAGCTGTAGATGAATACCTTGCATGAAAACGGAATAAACTGTTCAAACATGAAAAGAAGAATATTTATTTCGACGGTCTTTTAACACGCGCCCGGGTGGCCGGCTGGATACCCTTCGCTGGGGTGGGGAGGTCAATTTGATCCCCCCTGAAATCTCAAGAACCATAAGAGCTAGAGACACCAAATTCACAGGGTATGCTGACCTGCACATGAAATCACTTGGATCAAAGTATGAGGTTCCTAGGTCATGACTTTCAGGTCAAATAAGGTCAAACAATGTCAAATTTCAGACTGGTCGCCAAAGTGCCCCCAAACCTAGATAACTGTTTCTATGAAAGAGGTCACATGCTCACTAAGGTCAATGGCATTGTTTGATCTTTTAAAGGTCATGGTGACCAAAATCATACAAGACTGCTCCGAGTTTTGCATTTGAATAAGCGACAAAGTGTACGCTAGACATTATGCTCCTAAAAACCAAAAGTTGACCTGGGTCATTTTAGGTCAAGGACCTGTTCTGACCTCTAAGAAGTCCATGGGAGATGTAGAGTGCGGTTCCTGCTATCAATAAATTCGAAATGAGTGCCAGAAACTATCCCATACAGTAAGCCCTAGAATAATAAAACGGGTTGGCATTGACCTTGGTTTGACCTTTATACCTGACCTGAGGGCAATGCAATTTGCTCATTAAATTGTTGTATTGTCTAAGAAAGCATTGCAGAGATGTATGGCTTCATCTAACGCTCCGTTGTTGCATCAGATTGAACGATTCCCTAGAAATTGACTTCGCTGAAACCATGGCCTGACTTTGACCTGCCATAAATCAGCGACCTTGAAAGGTACATCCAAATTTTTCCACTAAACGATCCGCTATTCGATTATCTACAGGTATGCAAAATTAGGCGCGGCTAGGCCGCACTGTTCGGAAACCATTCTGGAAAAACCTTTGGGCGGGTCAATTTAACCTCCCACCCGAGCGCGTGTTAACTTTCTCCTGATTTCGGTCTCCTTCGGGACGTTAGGGAGAGAATTTCGGTCACCGGGGCACATTTCATACACAAACGTTTTGGGTTCAGTGGCGAGCGTAGCGTCCTTAAAATGAGATAGATAAAAACACTTAGTATGTGGGCATCCATAAATAACGTTACACACTTTTTCGTCTATTCTCAACCCTTTTCAACCATGATCACATCCTTTCTGTGTGAGAAGTCAGCTTCCCAATGATTACGCTGTGAAGCAATAGTTAGGATTTCGGCATGATTGGTAACCGCGCCAGAGCGGGACACTATGGTACCAAAGGTCACCCTTGATTCCCTTCAATTACGCTCCATCAGCCAGGCTTAACGTGATGCATGGCCAGGAGCGTGCAGGGTTTGCAATCCCATCCGCGCCAGTCGTTGCCACTCTTGGACGGCTCACGGTGGCTGACACATCAAGACTGGTCATTGATTGACTTTCACGAATACTGCTCCAAACGTACCGTGATTTATGGACGCCTGCCCATCGAGCAAAGCGGTACAGTACAAATTGCATCGCCTGATCTTGTCTTTGATAATGTAACAATTGGACCCGATTCTGGCGGCGCAGACCAATGACGGACTTAAGATATGCAAAGCTACTGCAACAAAGTTCGTGTTTGATACAGTATTGAGATGCGTCACAAATTTCTGACGCTGTGAATGCATTTGTGCCGCGGTGACATTGGGGTGTCGTTTCTCAATGCCAAACAGGTAAGCGCGTCACAGCCAACCCTAGGTCATGTGGTATAGCCTCGTCTGTGACCTAGACGCTGGTGATGTCACAGGTAGCAGCTTTTGGTAGCTGCTTTGCTGCCCGGCTGCCATGCTGCAACCGTCGCCGACGCCAATTGGCGTCCCTTGTCGCCAATCAGAGTAGCATAACACCAATTGGTGGCAAGAGGCACTCGGCAGCACTGAAAACAATCATCAAAGCTCTTATGACATCCCAGCGTAGTTGAGTAGTGTAGAGATGGATGCCGTGAGCCACAGGGGTGGTGGGAGGTAAGGTTTCCCAGAAAAAATTGACTCGCAGTTTGCTTAATGCTTTTATGTTGACTGCTCTATGGCGACCAACTAATTGGTGATATGCAAGATCGGACGACACCAAACGTGACCGAAAGGGGCCGGGTGAGACAGAACGGGACCACACAGAACCTGAAGGAGTCGAACCGGACCGGATGGAACGTCCGGAACCGGACCGGATGGAAAGGCAAGACGAGAACAGGCGGGACCAGACGGGACCAGACGGGATTAGTTGGGACCATATAGGACGGGTTGAATCTCGAGATCTTATGGAGCCAAAGGAGACCACATTTGAGACTATGGTCCCTTATGATCCCATCTGGCCACGTCTGGTTCCATCCGGTCCTGTCCAGTATGGTCTGGTTCCGCCTTTTCCCGTCTGGCCTGGTCTGGTCCCACTGGGTTACGTCCTTCGCCGTGCAGTCCTTTCCAATGCCTCCTTGTCCCGTCCAGTCCCGTCCAGTCCCGTTCGGTTTTGTCCGATCCTTTCCCATCGCGTCACGTCCCGTTCAGCACCATCCAGTCACGTGCAACCTTGTCTGGTTCGGACCGGTCTCTTCCGATCCTGGCTGCTTCCGTCTCGACCCCTGGTCCTCACACTCCACCGGTCGCCGTTCAGTCCCGTTTGGCCCTGATCCGCTCCGTTCGGTTTATATCGGCCACGTCCGATGGCGTTCGAAATCGTCTGATCCTGTTCGATTATGTTCGATCATCTCCGGGCCTGTTTGGTTCCATCCGGTCTGTTCGGTCCGTCTGGTGCTGTTGGGTTCCGTCTCGTCTAGGGCTTAAATGGTCTCCTACGTTTCATCTGGTTCCACCTAGTCCCGTGCGCTCGTGTTCGGCTCTCGAATTCCGTATGATCCCGTCTCGCCCCTTACCGTACTGTTCGGTCTCGTGCGGTCTTGTGCCGTCCCGTACGGAGCAGTGGAAGCCTGGAGAACTTTTTGATTTTATGACGTTGCCTTGGAATCAGCTGAAAGTGTTTGTGGTCGTCCTCGCACAATCAAGCGACAGCCGCGTCGGGGGTGTGTGCGTCAGCTGTGCGGAATTGAGCTGCGTGCGTTGCTGGTGCGAGGTAAAACGCAAGTTTTTGTTATTACGTGGCTTGTTCAGCTAAAAGAACTATTCATAAGTATCTATAAAGGTCTGTTGTATCTGCTGATACCAACAATGGATGGGTATTGAGCTAGTTCAATTGATTCAGACGGTTGTTTGAAAGTGCTGGGCCTACGCTGGTGGTACGGACAGGCGTACCAACAACACTGCTGCTGCTTGTATCAGATGTTGTATGACGCTTAGGTATTCCTGGATGAATTATGTGTAACAATAATCCCACGTACCTGTGTATAGCCTATACGTTTGAGTTTGAAGTCATTGCTGACTAAAATTGGTGCCTTTCAGGTGTACTGTAACAATGAGTTGTTTTCTTGAGGATTATTTTACCACAGTTTCCTTGCAGTTGTGTCAAAAAATAATGATGTTCAAGAAATTCTTCACTGTATATGAAGACTGAAATTGCAATCACATGATCAATTGAGAATGTAATCACCATGTTTTCCTGGCCATGGCACTAAAACAGATCAATTTTGAATGAAATGTCTGCAGCACTCAGTGATGCATGCATGCTTGGGGATACCTATTCCTTTTCCCTCAGCATTACCAATGCATTATATAAAGACTTTCAAGAGCTCAATAGATGATGCAGCTAGTTTTTGAAAAGTGAAATAATCTCAGTCTACTGCCCCTTATCATACTTTTAAGGTGTGATTTGGGTGAATTTGTTTGCTTACTACCTTGCTGAGTATTTTTATTCGTAGTCAGTCATACCTTTGGGATAGAAGCACCCACAGATCCAATTTTGCATGGATGGGAAAAGTTTTTGACAGAATAACTTAAAAAGTATTACAAGGGAGCATGGGGTTGCACTGTAACTGCGTGCTTAGGTGTGGTTTCACATGTGAAAATCTAACTAGAAATCAAAACTGTGGAGCTATGTATGTTTTCCTTTCAAGACAGTGGTGTACTTCTTGTTTGGCATCATTAGCTCAGGTATAGGCAAAATTTGTACCAGGGCTTATCTTGTGGCTGGAATGCACCTGTTACAATATCAGCTACCATTAATATATGGGTCACATGATGTGCTCCAAGGCACCTCTGGAACTTGACATAACATTGATGCATTCTCAGCTCCCTGGTGCTTATGAAAATACTCACAATTTCATCAACCTACTTCGTCTTAAAACCATTTGTTTAAAGATGCATGCGGTTAGCCTCCAAGGAAGGTGATGTGTGTACTAGTGATATCATGTAACAGCACCAGGCCAGCAGTCAAATGTTATCTGAGTGTTGACATGAAAACAGTTGTCTAGTAAGCAGCATCTCTGTACTCAATTCAAGCTGAGTGTTGATTTAAGCTGAACATACATGTTAGTCAAGATGTGAGAAACATGATCAAATTCATCATGACTGGTTTATTTGCCAGCTTGTTCTTGTAGGAAATAACACTTGTGAACAAGTAAATGCAAACAGGCTGTTACAGCACTACATTGAGTAATGTCAGCATGTTTTATCAGCATGTTGATGTCTGATCATGGCAGCTGGCCCAGCTTTAGCATCAATGAAACAGAAAAAAGCATGCGCCATCCAGTTGTTTCCTCTGGCTTACGCAGGCCACGACGATCTTTGCTGTTTGCCCGAACGCGAGCACAAGCAATGTATTCAAGCAGCTGCGGACCTTCGTACAGCACATGTACAACCCTATGTGATTCAGCATTAAAGCCCATGTCCTATGATCGCCATTGGCACTTTTCACCCCTTTGACACGTCGGGCTGTTGAGGCTGCAGCTAAAAGGTGTGTTAAGGTCGTGCGAAACAGCGCATACTTCGCACACTTCGAAGACGTGATACATCCCTGGCCATGATACCTGACAAGAGCATAGCACGGGAGACTGCAGCAGACAGGATGACTGCCGCTGTGTGTCGAGGCTCTCGCGCCACACCCGGTGTCTTCCGAATTCCAGAGCTGAATTGGAGGCAGCGGTCCTGCGCCACAGTCACGTGGATGGGGCAAATGACTGGGCCACTAGCGGTGGCACACGTGCCGGACTGTCTTCCAGAAAGCCCTCAAGATCACCCTATGAACCCGCCTGTTTCTCATGTCACTCCCAGATCGTCTAAAGCTATGTTGAATTCCTCACGTGGGCCTGCGATCCGCATTCTGGCAGCGACAGCTGCAGAATGTGTGTTAGGCACCGAATGCAACGGCGCAGGATCACTGGAGGCTAACGCCTGACACTCGTGGTGCGTGGTTCGTTTAGCACCAAGACGCCCACGTCTGCGCTCGTTAGGTGGGGTTCAATTTTTGCATGCGTCTTTTTGAAGGTGTGAGGCAACTTTTGCGCCAGTGTACTCGACAGTTTGCAAACAAAGTGTTTTCTCTCACCGTAGCCTGCACCCAACATGGAAATCCGGAGCCGATACTTGGGCTCTGGGGGACGCGAATCTGACGGCCAAGTGCTCGTGCGGGCAGCTGCTGGCAGTGTGGATGCCAGAGCATGTATGACGTGGGGATTTTGCACAGTCTTCTTGGACGGAGGGGTGCAGGTGCAAGTACGCGAGGTAGATGGTATGTCGACGTTAGGCGAGGAGATGCGGTATAGATCACAAACTTCTGTTCACTAGTGGAGACGGTGGAGTCTGTCGACTACTTTGTTGCGATGTTGAGTAGAAGCATACAAAACGTTGCTCGCCAGCATCATATTGATATGGAACAAACGCAGTTGTGTGAGGAAACGGAGGTCTGGATCACTGTTGATGAAGCTGTAGTTATGAAGCATGCACAGCCCGCTGACGTGCTCAGGGCTAAGCGACGCGTCATCGAAGTTTTTGCACACGTCCTCGTCATGTTGTGTGGTGGTACCAGACACGTTGCAGTTATGTTGCACATTCATTTAGTTAACGGCACTCAGATGATTCGCGTGGATACCAAAAATTAGGCATGTATCTTATAGATGCCCGGAACAGTGGAAAAATAACCTTATTAGCCTCACTCATCATTGCGAAAATTTAGGAATGCATGTTGAGCGAATTTTCTCGGCAAGTCTCATGACAGAACGGCATGCGACAGAATTGGGGGATGGTGATGCTGACCGTGTCCCGAGAGTGTCTGACGCATACTATAATGTGTTCGTTCTCCGAGGCAGGAATACGTGCGAACTTTGTATACAGCAAATGGTCACCAGTACCCAGTTTTTATGAGATATAAACCGGAGGTTGTGGCCAGTGGAAAATTCGTTGCGCTTTTCGCTGCAGCCGAGACGAGAAGATCAGGGATGGGTCTGAACACCGGATGAGGTATGAGATGTGCATCCATTTCCACAAATGTAGCGGACACCCACAAGCATTGGGTAAAGCCTGGCTTCTTTTGTATGAGTACTTTGATGTTCACCCAGCTATGTAGAGCTTGTGTGGTTGCCTCTGTCCGAGCTCGTGCGTCTTAATGCACATGCATTTTTATTGCCCTCGAATTTGTATTTAATACGTTTTGGGTTTGAAAACGTGCTGCACGGTGGTCTGTCATGTATTTATTTTGGTGCTCCAACGCCCAGCACATATCAACGTTACGTCAAGCCGTAAAACACGCCTCTGGTGATATCTCACGATCCGCACGTCAAATAGGGCTGATATTTTACCACGCTCCAGACTAATGTCATCTGATGCGCGATTAGCGCAACTGCGCGTCCCCATGTAAACGGCGACTCCAAATTCATCATCTTTGGCTCCACACCATGAATAAATGGATTTCCGAAGACTCGACCATCTTGCGTCACCCACGTACACGGTCAGGGGTGTGCTTATGGTCGTTCTGGCACGTGCCGTGGGCCAGCCGTGGGTCGTATCGGAGCGAATTGGGGCGCTGCGCTGGTCACATCAGAGATTGTTCGAACGGCGTGTTCCCCCTTGGAAATCGGTCACTTCTTTGGGCTCATTTGGACCAAGTGTATACGGCTACAAACAAACTCACGGACTCTGTGCAAATGGTATGTGACAAGAACAGAAAGTGCAGTGGGCTTACTGAGCTCGATTCTATCCCCCAGCTGGACTAAGAAGCGGTTGAAACACCCTATCCCAACTTCACGTACCTGATAAAATGCTGGACACACCGCTGTCTGTTTGGCAGCATCAGTATCCTATCGTCATTCCACCTCCGAGCTGCCGTGTCCACACCGGAGGACGTTCGCTACTCCTGAAGTGTATTTTAGACCGTTTTGGGTCTTACCGACTCACTTTTTGCCATGGGCGCCATGTCATCAGGGTGGTCGGTGCGCGCTAATGCCCCAATCATTATCACCAGCGCCGGCTCACTGTGGCAGAATGACGAGGCTACAACTGCCGTCCTTCCACGTCAAGTTTGTTTGTTCATGTTCCCACCAGCGTGAAGCGCTATCTAGTCTTTTGATCACTTAGTGATCACGGGACTAGATAGCGATTTCGCTAGCGATTCGGGCTCGTGGTGACAGTACTTGCATTACGGTATCTATTTATCCACACCATTACTGCCAAGGACTAGGAGCGTACGAGGAAACGTGCCAGCTGTTCCCGATTTACCAGCGTTGGAGAGCCTCATTTGGGAATCATAAGTTCCTGTTATTACGACAAAAATAAGAGGCAAGTAGTTTTTCGCTTCCTGAGTGCACCTTGGTACTTTTACAGGACACCGTTTTGGTGGGCCCGCTTCCTCATCATGTGTACTGGGCAGGTGTGATAACGATTCCGTTACGAATCCATGAGACCTTTGGGTGGTCTGACCACATCGTAAATGACCATGTTGATTGTTACACCTTTTGCAGGATGCCACTTGATTCCAGAACTGATAGTCGCGTGCAATTCCAAGGAATTTTGGTGGCTTTCAGCCAACGTCGTCGGTGAGACGCAAGCAGTCAGTTCCAAGAATGGAGGGGAGAGGCACTAACGGTGAGCCTTCTCCAGCATGACCTTCCCTCCTCCTCGCACGTCGGTCGTCCCACTGATCACGTGAGATTCGTGAACCAAAATATTACTTGTTGCAGGAAATATGCGGCGGCAAATTTTTATGTCATTGTCAGTGTTGTCGGAAGCGTCAGTGTCAATCAGTATTGTTATCAGATCGGGGCAACGCTAGCATCTCGCTTTGCAGTCTTGCAGTGTGCGTGGCCGTTATAACAAAACAGCGTCCGAGACATCTTGATGTTTGGGCTAAAGATATCCAGGATCCATTGCTGTACGCGTTATGTATCCGACGTTACATCGCGGCGTCTGAGGTATGTCGATATTTGAGTTAGATATTCCCAAGATGTACCGGTATATGACATCAGCATAGGAGCAGGGCTGATGCCCCCACCACCAGCTTTCGGTAATGTTTAACATGAAGCATATCGCGGATGCGGGCTTCAAAATTGTCATGCCCCCTCCCCCCGTCCTCCGTCTCTCACACTTTCTGGGACCCTTCTACGCCCACTGGACGTGCTTTATGTATCTGATGCTACATCGCACCCATTCCAGAGCAGCATAATAAGACGCATATCTCTGTTGCAGCCCCTCATGATGCGCACCTGGACGCCCGCGCAAAGAGAGGTGAGACGCATTTGTGATTTGGTGTCTTGCAACTCTCCCAGCCGGAGTGTTTTCCATTTTTGGGCTTTGCATTCAGCTTCTCATTGACAAACGCCAAACTCGTCTGAAAGGTGATGCCAACGAAGGCGTTAGCGCTACAGCCAGCGTTGTTGTGACCTGCAGCCTCTGGGATCAGCCTGGTTCCCTCATCAGCGCGTCATGATAAGTAAAAGGTAGCCTGAAGAACGGTTAAACCCGTATCCTAGTCGGCCATTGTCTTAACATCACACACGCCAAGCGAGACGACGTTCAAACACCGACACGGCTTGTCATATCCAAAAGCCAAACTAAAAAGAGATGGACGGCGGGAAGATCTGCCGGTGTACCTGACATGAAAAGATGCTCATGCTGGACACGAGCGGAACACTAAAAACTGGGAGAACACCAGACGGCTATGGAAATGAGTTTGAAAAGCAAGCATTTCACAAAAGCATGCCTTCGAAACAAACCATTGCATCCGTAGGAGGATATAAATTTGGAAAGATGCCGACTGGGACGAAAATCGAGTAACAAAGCTACCTTGCAAGGGCTGGCACAAAAGTCATCTGAGTTACAAACTTCGGGTTTCCACTGTTCAATCATATAGAGTTTTGGAAAGGTGAACGGGGAAGGAATGCGTACAGTTTTGCGTGTTACCACTGATTTTCTGGCATTCCTCGTGATGTTCGCGCACGGAGCCCAAAGCGCGATTTTGTGTGGCGCGGCGGCGTAACAGTACCACGTAGATGCTGCCGTATGAAAGACAGTGCATGGTGGAAATGCTGCTTACGTCTATTAATACCCTCTGGACTGCTGGAAATCGCGTCACCGTGGTGAATTACTGGGCTGTTTTATATTGTTTCCTCCTCATGTCCTTTGTCGAAAAACTATGTGCGAATAATATTGCAAGTGGCAAACTTTTTATTTTTATCGCATTAAGAAAGAAGGTAAAGAAGAAGAAAAAAGAAGACAAAGAAGGTGAAAAGACTAAAAAAGAAGGTAAAAGATCGTGGGGAAAGGCGAACATGAGGCCGTGGCTCTTCCCTTGGCGTTAAAATTTGGTGCTGGCACTTCGATGACGATAGAGATAACTGGTTGAAAAATTATCGTGCTCTCCCACGTTTAAGGACTTTCCACGACCCTGTGGGAAACGCTTGCAGGATTAATGGAAAGCCTGTCCGTTGAGAATTCAAGCTGGCAAAATTATGCAACATGTGTTGTGCCCCATTAGCAAACAAACGCATGAAGACTAAAAAACATACGGACATCAGGCCAACAAAGAGCAACAAGGGCTCATCGAGGCTGGCCTAAATCGGGTTCCGTGCACATCCCGAAAAACCTTAGCACCTGACCTGCCTGAATTTAGCTACAAATGAGATCCTGGACCGATAAGATTTATCCAAACGGTTCTTAAATGCGGCTAGACAGGCATTTCGTACAGCTTTGTTCGACAGTTCACTCCAGTGATTCACTTCACTTTGATCAAATGATATGTGCCTCTTCATAGTTCGACTATTGCCTTTCGTTCAATATAACGGGTTTTCTCTAAGTCTCGGCCTAATTCCGACCTAATTTCGAGTGTTCCTGGTATATTTACCTTTTCTGTCCCTTTCATAATCGTAAATACCTTTTTCATATCCCCTCTAAGTATACGATGTTTCAGTGAATACAATTGCAGGGCCTTATACCTATCCTTATATTGTAAGGCCTCAATCCCATTTTTTTTTCCCAGTCGCTTTTTGCTATACTTTTTCCAGCCTATCTATATTTTCGAGAAACATGGGGATCAAGCCTATACACAATACTCCTAAGTGTCTTCTAACGTGGTTAAGCACAAATTTTTGACGACATTCTTACCCTTGTAATGGACATTCCCGAATAAGACACAGCATTCGAAGTGCGTTGCTCGTAGCAGTCCCACATGGCTTTTCAGCCTTTAAATCCCTGGAAATTATGTCCCTAAGTCCTTTTCTTCTTCGATATGGCTCGGCTTCCGGCTATTCCGGATAGAAGCGGAATAAATGCCTCTCGCTCCGAGTCGCGGCGTGGCGAGTGTGCAGGGCCTTCAGCGCAGCGCTCCGGTGTGGGCGGGTCGACCTGAGCCGACCCGTCGGCCGTCGGCAGCCACGGAGCGTTCTTCGGAGAACATGCACATCCTCGTGAACGACCCTTCGCTGGCGCTGTACCGCATCCAGGAGCACATCCGCAAGGCGCTGCCGCCGACGGTGGAACGGCGCGGCGAGGTGGTGCACATGCACCGGCAGCTGCAGGGCCGCTGCTACGACGCCGAGTACGCCATCAGGTGGGGGACGGCGCTGCCAGTGCTGCCTGGCGGCCTGTCTCGGCAACGCGGTGTCGCACCGGCGTTCATAGATGTCAGCTCGTGGAGTACTGTTTGGCTCGTAGTGCGCCTATGGCAAACAGGAGATGTGTGCCTGATTTTTGACACAACACAGATGTCGTGCTTTGTAAGAAATCGTGAGAGTTGATGTGACGCATGAACAATTACAACACGACGTATGTTCATGCAAAATGGCACAGCGGATAGATCATACCGTGGTGGTTGCACTGCCCTAAATTGTATTCTACTCCATGTTTTGTTAATTGGCAAGGTATCGTCCGTATGATGAGCTGTGAATGTCTAGCGCGTATAATTATTTTGAACGCACCAGAAATTGGGAGAATCATTTCGTAATGTACTGACTTGTGAGCGTCGTACACAACATAAGCGTCGCCATTTTGAGCCGTTTCGCCACGTGGAACAGCGTGGCAAGAGTCATGCCCTCCCCTTCCCCCGTTGATTCCACAATTGGCGTGTTAGAGCAAAAGTGCAATGACGTGTCTATAACACGGTGCAATGTCTACAGTTTTTTTCCAATGATCTTCTCATTGACGTATGTGAGTTACCTGTCATGTCTGGTCAGGCAAGGCCAAAGCGCGTCTTTGGTGTTTGAGATTGTGCCTTAAACGTGTGTGGCTAGGTGAAATTAAGACCCTCTGCTGGTTAGGGTTGTCTTCCGAGTTACATTTTCTTTTCGTCCACGGTTATGTTGTGTCCTACAATGCTGCTCCATTGTGGGACAGCAACCCATAGTCGTTTTACCACAAGTGAGTGGCCAACAAATGCAGCAAAATGCGCCTCAATTCCACGCAGAAAACGCCTCACAGCATATCTTACCAGTGCGTGCGCACTGTGTTGCTTTCGTAGCACACGGTAACACGTAACTCTGAAACACCGTTGGCAAACACAAGGTCGCACAGCTAAGCTAATAGCCTGTTATTCCAGGGCCAGTTTCTCGGAGGGGCCATGGTGCTGTAACTATTCCGCATCATTGAATCAAATCTTCCCGGACCGTGGGACTCTTGCTGGGATTTACGCCATGTGTTTATTAGTGACTGGACATGGTTTTTCCAAGAAGAAAGGGCCCCCGGCGAAGAAGGGATGTTATCGCTCCGCATCAGCGGTCTTCAGAGAAATGCATAGACAAACTAGGTTAGGGTCTGGAGGCCTCGGCGCACAACACCGTATGTCAATAGTAAAAGGTGCTCTTTGGTTGCCGATTCAAGCTTTGCTCTTATCTGACTGAGGTTCAATATCCTAAATGCGTATTCCAGCCGTGCTTACATATTGATGGCGCGGGCAACACTTGTTTGCGAGTGGTTGGAGTACTACGACCACCCGTATAGAAGACGTGATACCTTATTGGAAACAGGTCACTGCAGGCGAATCGTGCTACCGGTGCATCTTAAAAAACGAAAAGCAATGACAAAAGGCTGTTAACAGAGATAGGTAGGCATTAATAGTCGTCATTTATGCACAGTGCGTCATGGAGCTCGTAAACATACCGTTGTCCCCATCTGGGCCCATGCCTGTCCGCGCATTACACATCGCCTTTTGGCCAGAGCTCCCGATGTGTTTCAGTTTCGCGATCACCTGGGCGTGGTTCACCACGCTTTGCCGTCTGGCGTTGTGCTTTCCGAACATTTCATGGCAACTTTTTTCTTGAAGTTTTATGCAAATAGTTTGTGCAGGATTGGGTCCATTGGTTTCATCGAGCAGTTACACCAGCCGGTGGGAAGGGGGGGGGGGGGGAGTGGATAGCATGATTCTCGGAGTCACGTGATCATTGGCAGCCACTGTTTTTGATTGGGACCCCAAAACAGGAAACGCTTTGATCGGCCTTGAATTTAGTGGAGATGTTAGCTTGTTGACACCCTGTGAGTCCAGGTGATGTGACTGTCATGACGAGTGAGTATGATCGAATGCACTCGATTGTATAGGGAACATGGGTCGAGGGTGCTGGAATATAGAATGAGATAAAGAAATCGGATTGTGCTGTTCGTCAGGATAAAGCGGCGTAGGATGCTTTCTGTTCTGCGCTCTACTCTGCCGTTCTGCCCTGCGCCGTGATTGACGCAGCGTTTAATGAGGTGCACTAAGGATCGTGTAAGAAATGATAATCAAAACAATATAGTAGAACGGTTAAGAATTAGAACCCACTGAAATGCTAATTAAGGTTGTGATCGCTGCCATTTTTATTTTGAAGCATTTGTCTTCATTTTTGCTTGCTGATTGAGAGCGACATGGAGCTTGGTTTTACGCGTCGCGTACATCATGTAGTATCTGTCTCCAGACATCGCATCGTGGTTTCTGCGGACAGATTGGACCAAGCACACACACCAACACTGTGGCCGTGCGAGATTGTTCTCTTTTGAGACCGTCCATATCAAATACGAACTCCTGTGGCTCTCGTGGCCACCGCTTCCGAATCATAGCTTTTATCCTAGTCTTTTGCCATTCTAAAATCGTCCTTGATAGCTGCCGTAGCCGACAGAGGCTGAAAAGACATTCGCTCTTAGTCAGCGGTACCGAGGTAGTGATGATCGGACGGCATGGGCGTGCCGTGCCCAAAACTGAGCATGATGCCGTACCCTCGGGCTGCGTACCTCGAATCTTCCATTGTTTGATGGGTCTGTCTTTGTGGGTCGCGAAGTCGATCACAGTCGTTGTCGATCGTTGTAGTGGACTTTGCGTGACATGCACCACGCTGTGACGCTGACAGCGTCACAGCTGCTGCGTTGCTTTCGCTCAGGTGACTTGGTGTAATTCAAATTGCGATTCTTGCTATAGTTTGCTAGGTTTGTCCTACTGCTGGTGCGAAAGTTGGGAAACTTGCTAGGTGTGTGCCACTGCCGGTACGAAAATTGCGAAACTTCTTAATTTATCTGGTAGCTTGAATACTTCAGCCCAAAATTCAAGACATCGGCTTTGTGCCCCTGGGAGCGTATGTCGGCGTTTTTCAGCACTTGGTGGATTGCCTTGTATTTTTTTGCGTTCATGGTCTTAACCTTACATGTGCTTCAAGTTGTGCATGCGTGGATCCGCATTTATCCGACCCGCATTCGTGTTTTCTGAGACATGTCGTGTTTTCAGTGCTGTGAAGGGAATGCAGAAAGCGGAGCCGATCTTCTCTAATATCCAAGAACTTTTGCGGAATTCGCTTTTCCTCCGGCAACAGCTTATTTATGAAGAGAAGCGGAACAGGTCAATGCGAAATGATGCTCGTTAGGTTTTGCTGGCTCGTGAATCTGCACGTGTTTTACTGTACGTTGATTTGTCGTTATTTTTGCTGTATTTATTGAGATACATAACCTTCTGCCGGAATAACCGTGAATACACAGGCGAAGCTTTGCTCGGTGGTGTTAGTATTTTTTATTAGTGCGGGATGATGAAGACGTGAATTTGCTGTTATCATTGCACATTTTGCTTGCACGACCACACCCATAAAGCGCTCGAGCGAACAGCTGCCTTGTTATTCGATTACACATCCCATCTCCCTTTGTCACCCTTGATCACCTCTCTTTTGTCCGGCCTTAAGCCTGCCCGACCGACCTTACCCTGACAAACTATACTTCGAAAACAGGTCCCGCCAGCAACACATTGTAATCCATCGTTCCGCCTTTTTATCTTTTGACCGAGGTGGCACCGTTTTTTTCTGTTTAACAGTGATGCATGAAAATCGGGAATGTCCACTGTTCTGCAACGGCGGGGGTTTAGATAGACGAACGGTAAGTAGTCTACATGTGCTAATGGTATTGGGCCTACCAAAAAATGTTGCATAGCAAGCATGCCATATGGTTCCAAAGAACAACTGCTCAACCCCAAAATTCCGAGCAGCTAACATTGCAACTGTTGCGCATTGCCTACAGCATTAGTGGCGGGACCAAATCAACATCATGTGGAAGTGTCACTGCAGCGTGCACGCCTCCGAGGTTCATGTCAAGCTACAGCTGCCCAGAATGAACGCTTGTTATGCATGTACTTTTTTGGTAGACCCAGTTCCTTGAACTTAGTACCTGTTGCCACGACCAGTAGTAAACTGGTATATATTTACATACATGTGTGTGTGTGGGCACGTGCTCTGTACCGAACTTCCCTTGGTAGGAGCATGGCGGCATCACTGGTACCCTCCATTATTATATATTTTCCACGGCAGTATTATTTCGCAACCTGGTGATGCATTAGACGATGCTTTCATCCCATGCATGTTTGCCCCATCGTTGATACTGGTGGGTGAAATGTATGTGCGAATTGTATGGTGTCTTGACGTTTTCCTACATGTGTCGGCAATAGAGAACAGGCGTATAGCGTACATATCATCATGATGATTGGTGGTTAAGGGCGTGACGGCTGCTTAAGTCATTGTTGTGTCCATAACGAACCCGTATGAACATCAGTATTAACTTGGGCGCTGTTGTGCGTTGTTCTAACCCCGCGGTCTGTTTCGAGCGTCCTTTATCTCGACCGTCTGCCAGACGGGATCTCAGTGGCCAGGCCCTGTTGCGCCCTGGCCCGGAGGCCTCAGCGTTCCCCGACCCTTGTGATGCCTCGCTGGGCGTCAGCGTGGCCCGGAGGCCTCAGCGTTCCCCGACCCTAGTGATGCCTCGCTGGGCGTCAGCGTGGCCCGGAGGCCTCAGCGTTTCCCCGACCCTTGTGATGCCTCGCTGGGCGTCAGCGTGGCCCGGAGGCCTCAGCGTTCCCCGACCCTAGTGATGCCTCGCTGGGCGTCAGCGTGGCCCGGAGGCCTCAGCGTTCCCCGACCCTTGTGATGCCTCGCTGGGCGTCAGCGTGGCCCGGAGGCCTCAGCGTTCCCCGACCCTTGTGATGCCTCGCTGGGCGTCAGCGTGGCCCGGAGGCCTCAGCGTTCCCCGACCCTAGTGATGCCTCGCTGGGCGTCAGCGTGGCCCGGAGGCCTCAGCGTTCCCCGACCCTTGTGATGCCTCGCTGGGCGTCAGCGTGGCCCGGAGCCGCGCTCGCTGTGGGCCGGCCGGCCCTCGTGTGACCGCCGCCGCCGTCTACCGCGCAGGGAGAGGACGGAGCCGAGCATGTACAAACGCCTCTCGTCGCACATCTCGCTCGACCTGACCGACCTGCCCGACCTGGGCGACGCCTGGCGAGAGACCGCCTCCCGGGTGGAGTCGGTGTTCGCGCACGCGCGCAGCTCGATGGCCGATAGGGAGGACAAGTCAGAGCACCGCAGGAGCACGGCCAACTGAGCGTCAGTCGCTGCTTGTTGACGGCTGTCTTCGAGTCTTGTGGCGGGTCTCTAGCCGCTTGTTTCCGAGCAGCCGGCGCGACGTGTTTGTTGCAGCTGGTCTTGAAGTGGTCGTGGCTGGTCTGCAGCCGTTTCCGAGTGGTCGAGCTCTGCTGTAGTCGCTCGGCTGCGAGCGGTCTGGTGCGCCTGGTCGTGTGTTGTCTGTGAGTGTCCACTCGTGGATCGTTGACGAGTCCTGGCGTCAGAAGCTCCACATTCTGTCACTTTTCATATCTTGACGCATGTCACAATATCACGGGGTACTGAAAATGTCCGCTTTATTCTGGTAGTTGCTCGTACCTCTGTCGCAGTGTAGCGGTTGTCTTAGAAGACATCACTGCAACATGAGAAACGTGACGGTACGGGTGTTACGGCTGTTAGTCAGCCCCATGATCTCCGCCAGGGGGTGAGAACAGTGTTCCTCGGCACACTCGCATGGTCGCGTCATACGCTCACCTGTTCCCATATGTTCTGAAATAGACCTGGTCAAAGCAGTTATTTGTGATGCTTTTCAGAATATGCTGATATTTTGGTAATACAAATGCACGACACGGAACATTCGGACTGGCAAGCATTGTCTAGCAGATAATGGGGCCACCAGAGACTCACGCAGATTAACTTTAACCGTTAAGCGTCTCATTCGACGAATATACATGTAAGCGTATGGATCCTGTGCTCTGTTGGTGCCCTAATTGATGCTACGACGGATTGTTGTTTGATTCCGGCTATGAACGTGATTCACTACGACATGATATGATGAGTGGGTTGACGCTTAGGGAACGCTTGAAACGTAGGCTCTTTAAATAAGAACGAAAAATGAACGATCAGTCCTCGCTGCCAGCGACAGCACAACCCACCGGCCACCTGTCCGACGTGCCAGCTGAGACGGGTCACGCGACCGCCGCTGCTCCGGCTCCCACACGTGTCAGCCGTCTCCGGCCGGCGGCGGACCCCCGTCCCGGTAACGTCACTCAGCCATCACTCAGCAACACGTGTCCGCTGGAAATTGTTAGCGAATAATGTGGTTTGAAGAGTCAATGTTGGAGAGATTTTTGCTGCCTGTCGACCGGTGTAATTTTCTGAACTGTTATCTCCTAGATCAATATTGACGTGTTCATCTTGATCGAGGTTGCAAAAGTGTGGTATAATGCCCTTTGTTTCACGCAACGTTAAAATTATGGTCTGATAGGGGGGATAGCTCAACATATAACTTTTTGGGTATTCATATGATGACCACATAAGAAAGAAGAACCAGGTGTTGCGTTTTAAATTTCGATCATGTGAGCATCGAGGTTAACATTCCCATTCTCGGCTTAGTATATAAGATATTTCCAGGCCTAGGGCCAAGGTTGCAGGACATTGGAGGCGCAGCCGCACCCCAGCGCTGGCGTATCTCCCATTTGAAGGAGCGACAACACTTGAGGGATGTCCTCTTAAGGGCGAGTTTGCTCCGTCTTCCCGTGGTTGATGGCGTGTAAGAGTAGCGGTGTCTTATGATTCTGTTCGGGAGGCAGTATGAGTGTCGCTGCGTTGCGTAGCGGACGCCCGTCGGGCTCCGTCGCCACTGCGCCAACGAAAGGTCTAGGTACAACTCCTTTCAGTCCGTCAGTCGTTTTTCATCCGTTAGAGCGGCTCCGCTGCGTGTTGGCCAACGCTGCGGCTCCACGATGGAGATGCATGACTCCATTCTCGGAGGCGACGGCGGTCGGTGCCGCCGGGGCGCCGAGACGCGTCCACGCCCGGCGGGGCCCGGCCACCGCCGCTTCGGTGAGCCGTGGCCGCAGGGTGGCGCTGCTTGCCGCGTCCCACCGCTCGCGAGGCACATTACCGGCTCGCCGTCGGCGTCGGGGAGGGGTGTTGCAACGGTGACGACAGCCGCGCTACCGGTCTTCTGCGTACGGTGGCGCGGCGCTGATATCTGTGTGGGCGCCCCACCGAATACTGGGGCGTCCACACATGCTGGCATATGTCTTTGCCGACATGATATTTCCCGGGAAGCGTCGCGGTGGAAAGCGCCTACAGATAGCCAGATACACAATGATAGGCTTTCCAGATAGAATGAAGCACGCCTACAAAGTATACATCGAAAACCCTAACGTGCTGAAAAAGCACTAACAAACAAGATCGCGCTCACAAATAAAGATAAGACACGCAGCAAATGCTTTAAAACGAAAGCGGGAAATATATGAGAAAGTTGGTAAAATACGCGACAAGCACCTACTGTGAAATTTTTACCTTTCTGCTTAGATGTAGACGTACCGATTCCAATGCTGCGTGGTGGGTCTCGTGCCCTCCGCCGCTGTCCGCTAGCGCCACAGTCGTGTGGTTCACAAGAGCGGTCATATTCCGTGTCACCGGCCGACCGAACTGTGATCCAGACTTGCTTGCGAGGGCACTTCTTCACACGAAGTCAACCCCGGCGTGCCAACAGCGGCCGTCGCTGTTTTCGCCACCGCTGTTGACGTGAACGGCCGTCGGCCACGCGGAGGCGGCTACCCCAGCGCTGGCTAACAATGCCACACTCTGCCCGTGTACAAAGGGTTAGGTGACCATAGTAGTGAGATTTGAGGAGCACACATCTAACGAAAACAATGCTGTCATAAACACCGCTCCCAGGCCACAGCTCCAACAGTATGGACGGGCCGGCTTAACAGCCGCGGAACTACAAACGAGGTCACTTTTCAACATGGCCAAACGTGAAGACCAAACGTTGAAAGACATATGTAGATAGCACAGGAATAACGTAAGCTCAGTAGCCTAAAACTTCGTTGTTGTGTATGCAGGCGCGTAAGCAATAAGCTCACACGCAAGGAACCCACACAGATGATCCGATTTGCAGCACGGCGCGTCCGATAACAATTGAACAGCCAGCACTACTGAGCAGGACAGCAGGCATTGCTGGTCCGTGCAGGATGAATCTGGGAAATCGCACTATGACAACAACAAAAAACAAAGCGAAAGCAATCCTCAAGGACCGTAGCATTCGACCGGAGTGCCACCGCGCAGCCGAATCGACCTTCTCGAGGCTGGTACAGCTTATGTGTCTGCGGAAACCACTGCGGATCGTGCGGGTACACTCCAGAAGCTCGATCGACCCCCTGGCAATCGGACGGAGGGGCGGCAAACACGTCCGCTCGCCGCGCAACGAGCGCTTCCCTGGCAATTGGACGGAGGGACGGCCAACGCATCCCCTCGCCATGTAGCATGAGCTGACTCATGCACGGCTGAACCAGGACCAGAGAATGCTCCCGAGTCCGAATCAGATGACCCATCGTGGAGCGGATCGGCGCGAGCATCCCGAACACCAGGCTAAGCAGCATTAGCGGGTTCACGAGCATCCGAACCCACTCCAGTTTCACCACCTAGCTGGGGCGGCTCACAGGTCGTTGCGCGCGGCGGCCCGCCGAAACTGAGACTCGCGTCCTCGGAAGTCTTCTTGCCTGGACATGCCGCGCGCAGCTGCTCCCAATGAACGGTACTGAGCTTCCGACCATCTGCGTTCGACACGAACAGGTCGGGGCTAGCGTTTGCCACAGGCACTACAGGGCCGGCAGGCCTAGGTTTCGATCTGCTAGCGTATGAAAATATAATACGTTACATATGAGCAAGAGACGGTCAAGAAACGGAGACACATTCTTTGGTTCTAATCGGACAACTTATCGACAATGTCGGCAAGCTGCGCAAACGAGGAAACTTTTAGTGTTGACCGCGAAGTACCACACTCAACTCTACAGCATCTCAGATGAACATCGCACTGCGTTTATTGTGTCGTAAGCGTGCTGTCACCGTCGTTCCAGACAATTTTCATTTTGGCAATAACGTATGTTTAACGTCCGCGGACCGAAATTACAAATACTCTCTAAGCTCGTACCGGGTCGATCAATATTAGCTTCAACCGTTGGATTCACGGCGTGGGAAGCAGGCACTGCGTTGTTTATCTCGATGTTTATGCTTATGATATTAATGTTTAAATAATTATGTCGAAATCTTTGCGTGCACGGTTTTGGTTTCAAATACTTGCTTAGAGGCCTTGCTGAGTGAACCCAGAACCCACCACCCAGAGGAGACTGATACAGTTCATCGGGCAATTTTGCCCATTATGTTTTTGCGAGACAGGGCTGCGAAGGGTTAACACGCGCTCGGGTGGTGGTCAAATTGACCCCCCTCCCCGAAGGTTTTTCCAGAATGGTTTCGGAACGGTGCAGCGTAGCCGCGCCAAATTTTGCACAGCTATAGACAATTGAATAGCGGATTGTTTAACATAAACAAATTATATGTGTCTTGTAAGGTCGCTGACCCATGGCAGGTCAAAGTCAGGCCATGGTTTCAGCGAAGGCAATTTCTAGGGAATCGTCCAATCTGATATAATAACGGAGTGTTTGACGAAGCCATACATCTCTGAGATACTTTCTGCACTACAAATTGCACTACAAATACTAGTGCACTACACACTATTGCACTGCACACTATTGCACTACAAATATTGAATGAGCAAATTACGTTGACCTAAGGTCAGGTATGAAGGTCAGACCAAGGTTACCACCAACCTGACTTATTACTCTAGGGCTTGCTGTATGAAATAGTTTATGGTGCTCAGTTCGAGTTTATTGATAGCAGGGACCGCATTACAATTTTCCACTGACTTCTTAGAAGTCAGAAAAGGTCATTGACCTAAGATGACCCGGGTCGAAATTTTGTTGTGTGAACATACTGCCTGGCGTAATCTTTGTCGCATATTCAAATGCAAAACTCAGAGCAGTCTTGTATTATTTGGGTCACCATGACCTTCAAGAGGTTAAACAAGGTCACTGATCTCAAATGGGCTTTTGACCTTCTGCTTAGAAACAGTTTCCTTGCTTCTGGGGGCACTTTGGTGACCAACCTAGAGTTTGACATTATTTGACCTTATTCGGCCTAAAGATCATGTCCTAGGAAGCTCAAACTTTGACCTAAGTGAGTTCACGTACAGGTCAAGACACTCTGTAAATTTGGTGTCTCTAGCTTTCTTATTTTCCGAGTTCTCAGGGGGTTAAATTGACCCCTCCCCACCCGAGCGAAGGGTATCTAGCCGGCCACCCGGGCACGTGTTAACACGGCTTACAGGATATCGGCACGACCGCCTTGTGCCATATCGATCGTCTTTCATCAGCTGACCTCTCCTGTTTCGATCGGGCGGAACAGTGCGCCCGCCCCGGGACTCGCACCCAATGCCGCTGGATTCAGAGCCCAGCATTCGTCCCGGCTCATGGGAAACACATGCGTGCGAGGAAATATTGCGTTGTCCGCGCTGTGCCGCTGCCCCGGCTCCCATACAAACATATGGCCAGCACGCATTAAAAATGTTACAGAGACTATTCCACATTTGAATGGGATTCCAGAAAGCTATAGCCATTGTCATGACCATTACCCGCAGATCAGAGCCATGTCCAAAGACTTCAAGCCCTCTCCTTTCTGAGTTTGATGCACGCTACTTTGCGTGGCCTTTTCTCGTCGT